CTTGCGATGACGGGTACTGCTTGTTTCTATCCACAGTAGCCGAACATTAATCATGAATTGAATTTTGTATAGGCGGCAACGTTCTCGTGTCTCACCTCCATATTGACGACTTTCGACTGATCTTGAAGCCTTTTCGTAAAATGTATAAATACATGTTTTTGTATTGTTTCAAGGATTGGGGGCTCAATTTCTTTCTTTTTTTTAAGACACTTGAATTGTAGATACAGGATGCCTCAATATAATTGCAACGGAAAAGTGTCGATTTACATAAGTGTATTCGAAAATGTTGTAGAGCTGAAATCAACTCTCCACTTTTATTTACAATTTTTAATTTGACCCATATTTATTGTTTATTTCAAAATAATTATATTTTCATTACAACTACATTCGTGCATATGTTTAAACATTTAAATGCCTTTTAAACATTTTAATACAAAAACATACATTTAAATCCAACATAGTTGTAGAAGCTAGAGTTAATTTCAGCTTAGATATAGAAATACTCCAATTACTGTTTAGAATCTACATTCATAATTACTAAAAGTGCATTTCTTTGATAAGTAGCATATCATTGGGTAATTGTCTGCAACCAACATTTTTTGTACATCGGAAATAAAATAACATTTTTCGACCAATTGAACGAAGCAAAATAAAGTTTGAAATAAAAGCAGCTCTACTTCAACATTGATTTTTTATCCTGCCATCTTTTACTCTACTCATTTAACAACAACATCAACAAATAGAACACCCACAGCAACAACAGCAACAACACAAGCAGCAGGGAAAGTAAAAACAAGAAACACAACAAAACACTCCAAAAGCTTCTTACTAAAAACCAATTAACAAAACTTGCCAGGAACTACCACATCGATATTAAAGGCAACTCTTCACAACAGCAAATAGACATTTTGTATTATAGAACAAAAAACCACAACGTAAACAACAGGTACAAAATGCATCACCAACAGCAACAATAACAACATCAAGCCAGCAACAACAACAACAAAATCAAGTACAACTAAGCAACAGTGCAAGCCAAACTTAATTATTTCTAATATATAATTAACAAACAACAACAAGAGCGCAGCAACAACAACAACAAAAATCAAAACTGCAACATCAAGTACAATAATAACAATTACAACAAAAACATAAAGAACAAGTACAACAAGAACAACATGAAAGGTTACAACAAAAATTAATGAACGAAACTTGAAACAGCTTTTTCGCACTTGTACAGCCCACTAGAAAAATCAAGTATTTGTTTTCCATGGCAAATACATATGTACAATATATTTATAGAGAGAGAGAGAGAAAGCAACAATTAAAAACTGATGCGAAATCTTTCGTCAATGCCACTAATAACTTAACAGCCGATTTCATTTAATTTCTTTTCAATTTGTATTTTATTTTTAGTTACCCTCTCCATGGCACCATATTTACAGTAACAATAAAAAAACGTAAACGATAACAAAAATGAAAATATTGTAAAACATCTTAGACAACACACGGAGCAAGCCCAAAATGTACATACATATATTGCATGTATGTATGTACATACGTGTATGTACATGTATATGCCACTAACAATAAAACTCTCCGTTCAAAATGCCCTCAACAGCGGTATTCTCCCTTCTATCTTCTATTCCACTATTCCAACCTGCTACCCACTGCTCCTTGTTTTTGCTACTACTTTTTGCTATAACTATTACTTACTGCCCATTCTATGTGTAAGCTCTTTAATGCTGAGCGTTCCGACCCTCAAACCTATCCCCTAGAAAAAACACAACTACAACAAGAACAACAGCTACAACAACAACAGTACGCAACTAAGCAAAGAATGCACCAAATTCAAAACAAAAAAGCAAAGAAAAACAAATTTAAAAAAAAAACAACAAATATTAAAAGTTCAAGCAAATTGTTTGGAAGTACATAGTACCACTACAATTAAATTTTATGCAATCTATATAAAAAATAAAAAAAAAACCAAAAGCCAATCACGAATAAAGTCTGTTGACATGAAATAAATATGTATAATATATGTATCTTACAACATAAAGAAACTCGCAATCAAATCAAAAAATTTGCTCGAAAATTGAAAAATAAAATAAATTAAAGTTGCAAGAACTTAGTATTCGATTCACTGCCTCTGTCACTCTATCATAGCCAACACTATCTACTATCTATCTCTATCTCGCTTGTTTGTCTGTGTGCAGGGATGCATTTCACGGGCAGCGAAGCGACAGCGGCGCCGGATTTGTTTGTAATATGGCTTGCGATGCCAGATTCAATGTTGTTGTTGGCGATAAGCGGCGATCTCGATGACAATGGATTTGGTAACGACAACAACGGCGACGAGAGAGACTGCGCCATCGACGGAGTGGAAACGACAATCATAACAACTACTCCTACTTGTGCGATTTTAACACCCACTTCTTCTACTACCATTACTACGAAAGCTACTGCTACTACCACTACTACAACCCCAATTAGTAGTCGTTATAAATCGTACAATTTGAACAGATCCTTGAAATGTTTGAACATCTCAGAAGCCAAAGCGAAAGTTTTTGAATTTTGTTGCATGAAACTGAAACTGACAAATTGAATTAAAATAAAACGATCGTTATCGGTATCGTTGTCGATCACGGAAAGCGTTGCCAATTATTGTGGTTGTTGCTGTGCTTGATGTTCGTTTGTGCTTGTTGTCAATCGGCGAAGACGAATACAAAGACGTTGAAGTCTCAGTTGCTAGTATTGCTTCTTAAAAGGTTGAAAAGGCAAAGCCAATCTATATGCATATGCATATACATAGCTAACTTATTTAATATATATTCTGTGTATATCATGCCATGAACCACAAAGCTAAAATCAATATTGAATTTTTTAATTTACAATTTCGTTTAAAAATATAACAATATTTATTATAATCGTTTGTAACAAAAAATCAAAGACATTATACCATTGGGATCTGTTCAAAGTTTGATGAGTATATAGCCTGAACCTACATACTCGTACATACATACAAATGTATTCATGAACATAAATATTGGGGCATGTAGAAAGTTGTATGTATGCTGTGGTACTAGTCGGTCGTGTACGTAGTTTGTCCCAGTACAAAACGTACTCGAATGTGGAGAGCGTCTCGTCACGTCAACTCAATTCACAGCGTTAAGTAACAAACGCAACTACTGTGTTGGAGGTGAGTCAGTTGAAGCACTCTAAGCTAAATATCTCTATCTATCCACATTTACCTAATAGTTTTAAGTGCAAGTCCAAGCCTAGATTAAGTCAAGCACCAAATTTGTTTCCACCACTAACAAGAGCTCTAGGTGAATGTTCCATTTGAAGCTAAGCTGCACAAACGGCTGGTGTGAGCCACCTATACAATTCTAAGCCTTCTGCATGATCATATTGTGGTTCATGTAATGATTATAAAAGGACAATTGAAATCAACCAAACCATGAAATATTGAGAGATACTCCCTTGTTGGACGTGCTCCTATATCTCTCACTCCGTCTAAGGTATTATAGAGCTTCGATTCAGTGCAGTAGTCACGAAAATACTACGCATACACGTACATAGAACGTAATTGCACATTTGTTGTTAAAAGGCAGCGTTTAATAAATTGTATTAAAAATGGAGCAGCATAAACAGGTTCTAAACACGTCATTCAGTTCGCCAAAACAAGCATCGACTACGTTTCTTATGACTGCGCAACAATCGGGGTCACTGAGTGACTGGTTTGGTCGACCAGCCGGCCCTGAAACCGCAAGCGGTCTGTGAATTCGCAATGACAATCAACGCAGCAAAACGCATGCATAGCTTGCCAATTAAAAACAATATTGGCAAACATTTAATTTTGAAATCATAGAATCTAGGACATACGAGAAAATAGTTTGACAACTTCATGACGTTGAAAATTGTCGGGGTTTTGAACAGTTCATAGCGTGTTATGGCATCGTAAATAGCTAAAAAACTACGAACTCAACGAAAAACAAAACAAAACAAAAGAGAACAGAGCACGAGTGCCAAATTCAATTCGTCAACGTCTATTTAATTATAATAAAATGTTTACTGACGAAATTTATTCAATATAAATTGTATTACATAAGCATTTGGCGTATTTTTTCATTATGATTTGAATTCAACTCGACGCGTTGTTGTTGCTGCTGTTGCTGTAACCGACCTGCTGCCTGACCTACCTCAACCCTTAAATCAAATTAACAGCTGCTGCTGTGTTGCTTTGTTTTTGCATTTTCTTGATTTTATTGCCCATATAAATGCATATTGTACGAACCATATACGAAACACACTCATTGAGAAATTGTAAAAAGTGAAACAAATCGTTGAATACGATCGCAATTGCTGGGACTTTTGGATAAGCTGTAAGCTGTTTTTTTCATATGCACTCGTCGAACCCAAACAACCCAAATGACTGGCGAGTATCGCTTTTTTTTTCTTGTTTACTCAAAACATTTTCTCTCTATCTTTCTGTTTCTCTGCTCTTAATATCTCTCCCCTGGCTCCCCTCTCGTTTTGGTTGTACATTTTTCTGTTTGTTATATTTAGTTCATACATACATATGTATGTACATACAAGTATGTAGGTATGCTTTTTTCGCATTGCTACAAATTGACGGCATACATAGCTTCCCTATGGTGTAGTGGCTAGGATATCTGGCATTCACCCAGAAGGCCCGGGTCCCGGGTTCGGTTCCCGGTACGAGAAAATGGTCGTGTGTGTGTGCGCGCTCTAACCTTGTTTTTTACCCCCTTATCGTCAAAAAATAAATAAATAAAAAACTTACTTACCAAATCAAACAACACACTGAACAGTTTTTCCACGACAAAAACTACATATAAAACTTAGGTTAGCTTTTAATCGAAACGATCCGAAACGCCACAGAAACACACGCACACACACGCAACAAACAATCCAACAAAATTGTGGAAACATTTATAACGCGCAAATTGTTTGCTATTTGCTCTATCTCATTTCAGTTAAGGAGATTGGAAATGGTCGTTCGCCATTACTGCAGGAGCCACTATACGGTACACGCCCTCAGCCCTACAGTGAGTAGAAGGCGCTATTCATTTGTAGTTTCTGTTTAGCCGACAAAGTTGTGGCAAATGCAAACCCCCGCCCCTCTCATAATTCTAACCGTCTCTGTGAATCAATGTGCGCTCGCTCGAAAGTGTGTGTGTGTGTGTGTGTATATATATATATTTATGTATATATATGTGGTGTACAGAATGATGATTTCCTTACTTTTCAGTTCCGACGAAACGAGTTTTCATAAAACCAAATGGTAGATTGGTCTTATACACGATTCCTAACAACACACACACCACCTACAAGAAGGTTGGCAAGAGGTAGAGGAAAGCAATAACATTCAAAGCCCTAAATTATAAATGATAGAGGGAAAGAACACAAATAAAAGGTGGGATTGATTTTAGCCAGGAGCATATACATAGTTTCTGCGTTTACATTCGGCACTTATTTAGAAGGTTTCTGTTCGTCATCTGCTTCTAATTGCTGCTGTCATGCCTCGCATTTATGTATATACTGCTAACTCATCGGTTCACCTCACCTTTAGCGAAGAAAGTGTAAAAATGCTACACAATCAATTTAACAAATTGTGTATATAAATTCATTAGTAAGCTAAATAAAGTAATTTTTAGTTCAGTCATATCCCACCTTTGCACACTTGCACATGCACATACATATAGTCGGATATGGGTATGTATATACATACGTACATATGTATGTATATGTAGTGCTGCACACCTGGCTGAGAAAACTTTTCTAATTGTTGGCACTTGAATGTATGCTCAGATGTAAAGAGCCCTCATAAAAATGCAATCATTACAGTTTTATATATAGTATATATATATATATATTCATATAGGTATATATACATAATATGTGTGTGTGTGTACTATATGAGAAGGGGACGATGATGACGATAGGCTGGCGGTAAATTGTAGGAAACTTTTACTTTCTTCCTTTTGACACAAGCGCAATTAAAAGAAATTAACAGCAAAATCGCATACCAATTAACTTGGCGTTGGGGCGTGCAGTAATGGAAGCATGGCACAGCTTTCCAAACGTTAAATAAGCATTAGTAGTGCTCTTTTTTAATACAAACACTCGTCCTCGTTCTCTCAACGCATACTGTACATTCGCAAAGAGAGCACGAAGAGGCAGATGCAGCAAATACTTCATTGAACAAGTGGAGAAGCTAAAGTAGGGTGTCCAGAATTTGTACTCTGTACATATGTATGCATAGAGTAATTTAAGAAACTACATAAATTAAGAAAATTTAAACGAAAAGTAAACAAATGCTATAACTTCGTTCAAATGGGCCTATCATGATGATAGGCATACGGACTTAATTCCGAGAATTACAGGAGTTATGGAAAATCACTAATAGCGGGGAAGTGGAGGAAGGAGGAAAATTCTTAAGAACACATGTTCTATGTCCTTATATATAGTACATATATATAATTTGGTGTCTCTATCTTTTATAGTCTCTAAAATGTTGGTGTTCATGCGGAGGGACGGACGGACAGACAGACCACATTTGTCAAATTTTGGTAAAAATGTCAATAATTAAGTACAAATAACTTGTCTTAGGGAAATATCAAAATTATAAAGGGATACTAGATTAGTTCAAATAAAATACCCAGGGGAAGGAAAACTCCACAAAGTGTGTACATATGTATACATATTCCTGATCACCATGACAAGACGAGTTGATTTAATCCTCACTGTCTGTCGTACGAGTTTTTTTTTCTGATGCACCCTCACTTCCCTGTTTTTATTGTTTTCAATAGCTCTTGGTACCCTGACTATGAAATTCTCTGTACCGTTTGCCCAAAGGGTTTATGCAAAGTTTAAACAGCGCCTTCGACCCTAAAACTTATAAATATACATAATCAGTATGACGAGACAGAACGTCCCTCTTCTTAAGAATAATAAAACCAAAACTCACAAAATGCCCGATGCAAATTTAGTGTCGAAAAACTTCATTCTAGTAACGCTACTGCTTTTTTTAAAGATCAGATTTTTTCCCTACAACTTTGTGTACTTAATAAAAAGTTAAAGTAATGCACTTTTATACCCTATAGCCTCCATTCATTTATTTTACCTTTCGGGTTAAAAGTATGACGAGCTAAAAAGGTATCTTCGTCTGTGCAATGGTAACGATTCGCAACCAATGACATTTTAAGTATTCTATTTAGTTTCACTATCTTTGTACTCAAAAAGTTGGGCTTTCTAAGTTGTATCGTGATTATGGAACTATCCAAAAAGGCCTCGCTGTAAAGTTTCAAAGCAATAGCTCTGACAATTTGGATACCAAGTTTTGTTATTGAGACTCTTACATTCATACAGATAGGCGAGAGAACGGACGGACGGACATGGCTATATCTCGACTAAACTAGTATACCATTTTATCCTTTGGGTACATGGTATAAAAATTGTTTATTAGGTTTGCTTGTTTTTATTTTGTTATTTAAATCAAAGTGTATAATACCAGTATTTCACTCCAGTACTACGTCCCCAAGTTGCAGTAGAGGGTATTTGCTCGGTCGGGATTACCCGACTGCAACATTCTGTCTATTTTTGTTTGACCTTTTACGAACTACTCACGAAAACCAACAAGGCCCCAAGCGGCAACTGCTATAGTAGGAAATTTTGCATTATCTAAAATACGCAAACTTAAAACCGTGAACTAAAATCCTCCGCTTCGTTCCTCTGCCCAAGCAATGGCTCCTGCCAAAAACTTATGTAACTGGCCCCAGACCACACTCGCTCATAATTTTTCTGTAATCGTATCCTTTGCTTATATTAAATCAAAGCGGTGTGTGTTGGTTTTTGATATTAGCCACGACAGCCAGAACAAATGTTGTGACTTAATTGGGGTTGTTGTGGGTCTGTTGTTATTGTTTCTGGACTTTGGGGACAGAAAACTGATGCAAAAGATTAAGTAGAAGAAAAATCCGTCTCTAACTGATGCTCGACTGCTGCTTTTAATTGCATTTTACGCAAAGTTTAAGCGCCCGTCTCGTTGCCTAGGTTTCAATTAGAGGTTTAGCCTGGGTTGATGCGGCAGGGATTAGGGTGGAATGACGGTTGATGGCTTCGAGTACTGGGCCACCCGCATGGTCATGGAAAGTTTTGTTGCCTACTTTGAATGCATATTTGTGTATATTCTGTGAGCAAAAATGTCGGAAGATTGCGCAAATATTGCTGTTGTTATTTTCTTGGAAGTTGTTTCGTTGAATTTCGATAGTCGCTAAAACTTTTCTGCAGAAAAAAAATGTTCCTCTTCACTATATATGATAATTGGCCATGGCTGCGGCATTCGGTTCGACGATTTGTTGTTGTTACTCTCTGTCTGTATTGTTTGTGTATCGTTTCGTTTTTTTGGGTAGGAAGTCAAATAGAAATGATTTTAGAACTGGTGGACTGGGAGTATTGACGGGCGGCTTTTATTGCCAATTTTAAAATTAAAGTAGTATTTTATTTTAAGAATGTTTTCATAGCTCTCCATTTTACTTTTAGAGAAGTTTGTTGGATCCGCATGTTTTAAATTCTGTATAACCTATAGCCCATAGCCTTTTCCAACCATCGTTCCTCCATGAATTATGCCTGATTTGGGGCCCTAGCTGTTAATAGTTAAGTGTCTTTCGACCGGACCGCTAAGTTGTCCTAAGGACAATTACATAGTGTTATCGGGACTTAAGGGACAATGTAGATAAAAAAGTCAAGATAGTTAATTTATTATTGAAAGCAATGCTTGGAGTGGTGCATAAAATCAGATGTCGCTCCCAGAAACAATCCAGCACACAAGCGGATCTTGCTACTGAGAAAAACCTGGAACGCACATCATAGAGATATTTCACATAAACGCCTATACCCCCAGGTAAAAGATGGTGGAGTTAAAATTCTTTGTATTTGTATTATAGAACATAAAGCATTTCTTTCTAAAAAATTACATTAATGTTCGTAAAAACTGCAAAGTCCAAATGTGAATAGTTCGTTTTCAAAATAAGAACTCATTTATGGTAACTTAGGAAATTTTTCCAAACACAGACTTGCTAGTCTGGAAAATTTGTTCAATTATGCGAAAAGTATAGTAAGTATAAGAATATTAACACGAAACCATATCAGATGATTATGGAGAGTGAGAGATAGTTTAAATGTAATTTATCGCGTATACTCTGCCAATTATATCCATCAACCTAATCTCTAAATTGAAACGCTTCGAAAGATTTTTTACCGAGTTTTAAGCAGAACTTAATGTTTTATCGTTAGTTTTTCGATCGTCATATTCGTGCTGATATCACAAACCCAGAGTTACTTTGTATGCGATAACTCAGATTCTATCTTGATATCTTTTATCTATTGTCATGAAACTTAACGTAACTAACGCCACGACCAATATCCGGCCGCACAAAAAGAGGGTATTTTAAAAAGTCCTGTTTGCTTTCGGATAAACTTTGTATATCCATTGTATGTCATCTCATAAGTATGACACCCGAAGATATTTATGTTTTTTTTTTTCATTCCGACTAACAATAAAATTTGAGTAAAGCCTCTGCTTCGTTAAAAATTTACCTCTTGCATTGCTGATGTGTTTTGCGAGGTCCTGCCTCATCTGAGTGACTTCCATACCCTCTCCACAATCAACAAGAACTGCTGTAGCCAGTCATTGCAGCATTGCTGTATTCAGTTTTCTTTGCTCGTTCGCTCAGCTCTGCCTAATAAGCATCCTTGGGGAAATTATTGTGAACAAAATTCAATTCTGTGTTTAATTTGCAGTGAGCCCGTTGTTACTCCTGCTTTCCACTCGCTTCATTTATGTTTTGATGTTTGTTGTATTTATTTAAAATATTGCATTTTGGAGAACGCCTGCTCGCTGCTGTCCATGCTCATTTTTGTTGGTTAGTTTGCTTAAAGCTGTGTTTCTTGTTTGTTTTTGCTAATATGGAAATCATAGCAGCTTTTGTTTTCTATTTTCTTCGTCAAAATATAAATGTATGTGCATTATTCTGTGTTGCTATGG